CGGTGCCTGCGCCTGCGCACGGGGGCTGGTCTACCTTCCAGTTTGCTCCTGCGCCTGCGCACGGGGGCAGGCCTCGGTTCCGGGTCGCGCCTTCGACTTCGCGCGGTGGCAGGCCTCGGTTCCGGGTCGCACCTGCTCCTGCGCCTGCGCACGAGCGCGCGCGAGAATTCCGGAGCTTCTCCGCTGAGCGAGCAGTGTCTGGTTTTCCGGGATCCTTACCGGGATGTGCGTTCTGGTCAGCCAGCTCAAGACTGTCAGGCTGCGGGCTTTGCGCAGCGCACAGAAGTTCGGCGTGGCGGGCCGGAGCTGCCAGGAGCTGCTGCGCAAGGGCTGCCTGCGCTTTCAGGTCCGAAGGGACTTGCAAAGGGTCCTGGTTGCTGCGCGCACTGTCCAGGCGCGGCCAGGGGAGCGCGAGTCAGCGGCAGTGGGGCCCGGGAGGGCCGCACCTGCCGCCCGCTGCAGCTGGGGTCGTGCAGCGTGTACCTGCACGGCGCTGAATGGCCCCCGCGTCCCTCCGCCCCAGCCTGTCCTTCGGCAGAGCGAAGCCCTGGGTCATTGCCGTCGGGGCATCCCAACCATGGGGACAGGTTTTTTTTTTCCCTGAATGGGTGTAGACCCTCGCTGGGAACATGCATGAGCACGTGGGTGGCGGTGGGGAGTTGCTGGAGTGTTGAGGGACCAGGTCCCGAAGACTGGCAGTGCATGAGGCTGTGTGCAGACTGGGTCTGGAGATGCACTCAGGCACCAGTTCCAAACAGGCTCGCGTTTTACGTGCCCTCGAGGAGTTCGTTTTAGAACGGCGAATCTGCACTGCAAACGGCCTCCAGTTGGCATGTCTCAGGCACCTTGGCTGTGATGCCAGTTTGGACGTGCACCCAGAAGGTCCTAAACTGGGTTCCTGAACAGCTCGCACTTTTTGTTTGGGAGGCCAGCAAACAGCAGTTCCTCTGCGCTCTAGCCTAAGCGTCCTGCTCCTCCTGCTTCCCTAGCTCCCCGTGCAGGGCTCTCGGCTGTGCCTGTACGAGGATGGCACCGAGGTGACTGAAGACTACTTTCCGGGCATCCCCCATGACGCCGAGCTCGTGCTGCTCACCGAGGGCCAGACATGGCAGGGCTGTAAGTGCAAACACCTTGGAGATGGGCGGGAAGCCGTACCGAGGCCCAGTCCAACTGAGTTTTCAGTCCTCTTGCTCGGGAGCCTGGTTGTTCAGTTGATTGTCTTTTTTTAAAATTTAATTTTTTACTGCTGACAGGCAGAGGCTGAGGCTGAGGCTGCAGTTTTGTGGGTAGTGGGAGCCAGAGAGAGAGTTGTGAAGGCTGGGGTCTTGCTGCTACTTTTTGCAGGGCAGGGCAGGGTGGGGCCCATCTGTGTACCTGGCTGTTTTCTAGTAGTGTTTGCTGAGACCTTGTCTGCAGCGCTTATGTTGAGGGCTGTCTTATTGGACACTTGCTCCAACAGGTGGTTCTTTAGGGATATCTGAATTGAAGGCCTGGGGTGTGATTCTTAACTTGGTGGACAGCAAATCTGCACTGTTTGTGTTACAACCCAGCATGGAGAGTTTCTTACCCCTGGTGGAAGACTCCTTGGAGTGCCAGTCCTCTGGAGGGTTCCTCTATAAAGGATATAGAGATGGGTGTCCTAGGAAGGATGGGGTGTTCCCAGGGGCTTAGTCCTGCCTCCTCTGCCGAATGGGAGAGAGAAGCTGAAGAGTTTGTCCACATCTCCAGGCTGCAGGGTAGGGGCTCACTGCCAGCATGAAACATCTGGACACAATCACCATAATGTCACCTGGGATGGCCCTTTGTGGGAGGCAGGAACTGGGCACCTCTGGATCTTTCCTTTTCTTCCCTGGTTCCTGGTATAGTTTGAAAAAAAATGCCACAGGCTGCTGTCTGTGCCAACCTACCTCCCAGTCTTTGTCTCCTTTGTCTCTCTCAAGTTTCTCGTGGTTCTCTCTTCTCTCTACTCCATCTTCCTTCCTCTACCAAGACCTTTCCTAGGAAGACTTGTAAAGAAATGTTGAACATTAAAAACAAAAAAATAAAAACCCCACAGTGATTCTCAGGAACTTGCAAAGATAGGAAGGTTCCACGCTCCTTTTACCACTTGTCCCAAAGTCACTTCTGGCATGACACTAGCACAGCATCTAACCCAGGAAGCTGACCCTGGGGCCTCGTCTGTGAACCACTGCGATGACTCCTGGAACTACCTGTTCAGTCAAGGTGCAAGGTACTTCCACTCATCATAATCCTCCTGGTGCTGCCCTTTTATGATCCTGCCTGTCCCCACCTATCGAAGTCATTGCCCCTGGTGACCACTCATATGGTCCATCTCTATAATTTGTCATTTCAAGAATACTAGATGAATGGAATCGTGTGATGTACGGCTTTCTGGGATGGGTGTTATTTATCTAAGTGTTGAGTGTCAGTGGTCCACTCTTCCCCATTGTGTGACTTGGTTGTACCACAGTTAGCCTCACCTTTCGCCTGCTGGGGGACATAAAGCTGCTGTGAGCAGTCATGCCCAGGTTTTTGTGTGGATGTGTATTTTCATTTCTCTGGGAAAGATGCTCAGGAGTGCAGTGCTAGGTCATATGGTTAGCATGTGTTTAGATTTTAAAGATAAGAATGTTCACTCCTAGCTGGGCACAGTGGCGCACATCTGTAATTCCAGTGGCTTGGGAGACTGAGACAGGAGAATCGCTAGTTCGAAGCCAGCTTCAGCAATGGTGACCCTGACTCTAAATAAAATAAAAAATAGGCTGGGGATGTGGCTCAGTGGCCAAATGCCCCCGAGTTCAATTCCTGGTACCCCCAACAACACACAAAAAATGTTCACTCTTGCCACTTTCATTTATTATTGTATTGGAGGTACAGTGCTAGGAAAGTTAAGAAACAAGGCCCTCAGATTGGAAAAGAAGTACTCTCTCTGCAGAGGTGCACTGTTGTAAGTAGAATCCTCAGGGATCCATTAAAAACACTTAGAACTAAGAATGGAGTGTAGCAAGCTGCACGATATGAGAGCAGTATACAAAGCCACTTGTATTTCTATCCACATACAGAGGGCAATCTGGAAATGAAATAAGGAAATTAATTTAGTTTATAGTAGCATCAAAAAGAATAAAATACTAGGAACAAATATAACAAGAGAAGCATAAAACTTTGGGCTGGAGTTATAGCTCAGTGGTGGAGCACTTGCCCAGCACACATGAGGCATTGGGTTTGATCTTCAGCACCACATAAAAATAAACGTATTGTGACCATCTACAACTAAAAAAAGAAAAAAAAAGAATTAAAAAAAAAAAGAAGCATGTAACTCTTACTCTGAAAACTACAAAACATCAAAAGAAATTTAAGGTGGGAGTAGATGGAAAAGCAGCTCATATGTGTGGATCAGACAAACCTGATATTGGTGAGGTGGCAGTACTCTCCAAACAGGTCTTCAGATTCAGCACAGTCCCTAGAGAATTCCAGCCGCTCCTTTACAGAAGTTGACATGGTGATTCTGATTTGTAATTCATGTGGAATCACTAGGGACTCAGAATAATCTAAACAATCTTGAAGAAGAGCACGGGAGGACTCACGCTTCCCACAGTGGTGACCAAGACCGTGGTCCTGGCCAGGGGTGAATGTGTAGATGAGTAGAATGGAGAGCCCAGAAGTAAACACGTGGTCACTGTTTCGACAGGGGTGCTGATAGTAGTCAGTGGGGGGAAAATAGTCTCTTCAGCAAGAGGTGTGGACATAACTGGACAGTCACGCAGAATGAATGTAGTACATGCAAAAATCAACTTAAAATGGATTTATGACCTAAAGGTAAGAAGTAAAAGCCCAAAACACTTGGAAGAAAACAGGAATAAAATCTTCATGACTTTGGGTTTGGCAAAGGATTCTTGGATGTGATACCGAAAGCATGAGCCATAAAGGAAGAAACAAATTGGTCGTCATAAAAACGAAGTAACTCTGTGCTTGTCTTTCTGCTCTTCTTAACTGTGTCTTTTGCAGAGCAAATTTTTATTTTTCATGAAGTCCAATTTGATGGTTGCTACTTCTCTGATTCTGCCTTTGGTATTAAGTCTAAGAAACCCCATTGAACCCTGGGCCCTAAGGTTCCTTCCTGCTGTGGAGAGGTGGGTCTTGTGGGTTGGTTTTGAAAACTGAACCAGGCTTGACTCCCCACTTGGCCTCCCTGTGCTCCTCTTTAGAATCCCTGGACCCTGTGGCGATATTCTGATAGGGCCCTTGGTGGCTGGTCTCTCTTGACCCTGAGAGCTTGTGGGAGAGCTCCCTGCCCTGGGAGTTGTGCAGACCTCTGCGCCAGGGCAGGAGGCATGGTTGGGAGGTCTGAAGAGGGGTCTCCAGGGAAGGCCCTCAGAAGGGGGTGGTTCAGTTTAGAAGAGAGGAGGCCAAAAGGAGAGCAGGGGTGCTCAGGAGGTGCTTTCGCTCTCTGACACACGTCCCTACAGGGGCAGAGGGCGGGAGCTGGTGTGTAGTTGGCTGCTGGATACAGCTGGCCAGGAGGAGGGCCTGGACCCCTTGAGTCTGAATTCTGTCAATCCCCAGGCTGAGGGATTGAGGCCTGCTGACGTTGGATCTGGAATGTCCCTGAAGGCACGTGTTGAGGGCTTGGTCCCCAGTGCAGTGGTGTCCATTGGTGGGTCTTTGGATTGGATCCCAAGGGTTCTGATCTCATCAGTGGGTTAATCCACTAGGGAGCGCACAGCTGAGTGGGCTCTTGGGAGGTGGTGGAAACTGGAGGAGTGGGGCCTAGTTGAAGAGAGTGGTCCTTGGGGGGGTCTCTGCTCCCTGGATGCCATGAGGTGACAGCTCCACTCTGCCAGGCCCCTGTCCATGATGCTGTGCCTCACACAGGCCCAGAGTAGTGGACAGAACTGACCATGGACTGAAACCTGCAACCAGGAGCCGGAAGAAACCTTTCCTCCCTTAAATTGTTTTCTCAGATATTTTGTCACAGAGACAGAGCTGCAGCCTCTTCTCTGATCAAGGCTTCCCTGGACTGAATGCATTTCTGTTTGTTCCCTGCTGGTGGCAGATGTGAGTGACATTAGTCGCTTCCTCAGCATGTTTCACGAGGCGCAGGCGGGGGTCATTGAAGCTGCACGGCAGCTGCTTTCTGGCGAGAGGGCCCCCCTGAGGCAGAAGCTGCTGGCCGACCTCCTGCACACTGTCAGCCAGAACATCGAGGCTGAGACCCGAGCCCAGGACCCGCCCTGGTTTGAAGGTGTGTGGGCTGGGGAAGGGCCCAGGAGAAACTGGGGTCTGTCAGGTCCTAGTGTCCACAACCAAGAGCTGGTGTGGCCTCTCAGGGAGGCGGGACAGGATGTGCTCTTCCAGAGCCTGGGGAACGTGGGGAAGGCACCAGCAAGGGCTCCTGGAGAGTCGGGTAGCATCCAGGCAGCCTCCAGCTGCCCTTTTTGAATTTATTATTCTTAAATAAAATGTTAGGTGAAAACGAGTACAGCATACAGTTTACTGTCTTGGCCGTTGTTAAGTAGGCTTGTCTCCCAGTGTCTGGGGGAGAATTTGGTTTCAGGACCCCCATGGGACCAAACCCTTGGGATGTGCAGATCTGTTGCCTGCAGCTGCTCACATCCCTGCAGTCATCCTCATGCACAGCTGTCGGGTGGGCTGGGGAGTGGCAGAACAACAGGCCTGTGGTCTGTATAGGTGTAATTTTTAAACGCCTAAGACTTGTGGTTGGCTGAACTGCAGATGTGGAAGCGAATGGCATCACAGTCCAGTGGCACTGAGTACCCACTGTCATGCTGCTGTCACTGCCGTATGGCCTGGGGACTCTTGCATCTTGTACCTGTTGAGCACTGATCCCAGCCTGATGCCCTTCATCCTATTTTCCATCCGAGTGTGATGACTCTGGGTGCCTCCTGTAAGTGGGACCATGCAGGGCGTGTCTGTGTGACAACTTACCTAGTGAAGCACGCGCCCTCGGGTTTGTCCTCGTGGTGCCTGTGTCAGGACTATCTTTTTAAGGCTGGGCAGTGTTCCGTTGTGGATGGGTGCATGTGGTTTATCTTCTGCTAATGCACACTAGGGTCACTCCTGCCTTCTGGACTGGCCTTGGAAGCCAATTGGAGGTAGCCTGAGGAGTTGGCACCCATCTTGGAAAAGGAGGGCTGTTTGGGCAGCCAGGCAGAAGCCCTTAGTGGTGTTGGAGATGCCTCAAAACCAAAGACCAAATGAGGCCCTGTATGCCGCCACCCTCGGTTCTCTAGATGAAGGTGGCCGACCATGAGGTCTGCCCTGCTTGGCAGGCAAGCCCAGCCGGGCACAGCTAAGAGGCCCTGGCTGCCCTGGACTCCAGGGACTCTTCTTCATCCTTACAGGCTTGGAGTCCCGATTCAGGAGCAAGTCGGGCTACCTACGATACAGCTGCGAGAGCCGGATCCGGAGTTACCTGAGAGAGGTAAGTGCTTTTTTGTTCAGGCCAGCTGTGCCCAGGGCTCTGGGCCCAGGGTGTGGGTAAGTGGTGGGAGGCCACTTTTCTGCTGGTACATCTCTCCTGTGCCCCACCTCTGAGACCACTATTGGGTACCCCAGTGTGCTAGAACCTGGGATGGAGGCCTGTGGCTGGGGTTGCTGAGGCCCAGCAGAGCCACTTACTCCCCCTCTGTTTTGTGTGGACTTCTTCCTGCTGGTGAAGAGCAGAACTAGCCCCTGAGTGTTTCCATGTGGCAGCAAGTTCCATTCTGACCTGAACTCTCCCAAACAGATGCCCTTTTTCTCTGTGCCTCACCCTGCTCGGGCAGCAGCCTCTTGCCAACCCTCTGGGGCACAGTGTGGTCATCTGAGCTTGGAGAAGAACTGCAGGGCCAAGTGGCCACATGGGGCTCTGATGCTGGCTCCTCCCTGGGAGAGGCTTGGCCCAGTGGCATAGGAAGGAGTGTGGACACTCCTGGGCAGCTGTCTGCCTTCAGGAAGGCAGGCCTTGGGTCTGCCATCCTGACATGGTCCCTGTGCTGCTCCTCAGCAGATCAGACCTGTGTGAAAGGTGGAGTGCAGAGTGGAAGGGGATGCTCCGTGGAGCCTAGTGGGCCAGGTGTTTGTCCCAGGAGCGTGGGCCCGAGCTCTCCAATGCACTGGGCTCTGTGTCTCCATTCAGGTCCTTCCGGGTGGGACAGCAAGGTCTTGGCTCTGGCAGCTTTGTCTGCTTTTGGTCCTTGCAGGCCCGCTCGCTGGCAGGAGTTGAGCCAGCTGTAGAGCAGGGGGTGGGTGTTGTCTTTTCATAGTGTGCCGTCCCTGTGCCTATGTGGCTGCACAGACTCTGGGGTCTCTTGGTCGTCTCCCTCCACCCCTACCTTGACTGGGCCCTGCCACACTTGTGGGGCTGGATGCAGCTGCATGTGCCTCTTGGTGGTCCTGTTGCCACCAAGGATGCCCTCATGTGAACACTGCCTGGCTGTGCCCTGTGGGTGACCCTGCTGTCACTGAGGACGCCCTCCTGCGGGCATGTCTGGCTGTGCCCGTGGGTGACCCTGCTGCCACTGAGGATACCCTCCTGATTGCACTGCCTGGCTGTGCCCTGTGGGTGACCCTGCTGCCACTGAGTTGACTTCCTGTGGGCATGCCTGGCTGTGCCCCGTGGGGTGACCCTGCTGCCACTGAGGATGCCCTCCTGCGGGCATGCCTGGCTGTGCCCCGTGGGTGACCCTGCTGCCACTGAGGATGCCCTCCTGTGGGCATGCCTGGCTGTGCCCTTTGGGGTGTCTCCAGGATACTGTGTGTGGTGCTGCCCCTGTGCTGCCATCCTCTGTCTGCCCACCTGTTGCTCCTGCCAGGAAGGGGCGAGCACCTGTAGGCCTCCTTATGCAGACGATGCTTGAGCATGGGTTTCTTCCATGGTGACCAGGAAGTGCCAGGGCAAGTGCTAGGGCGAGCGGGCAGACATGAGAGGGTGCTCAGAGCTGAGTCCATCTCGTGCCACCATGACTAGGTTGGTAGGTCTAGCTGAGGCCTGAGGGGTTAGCAGCCTGAGCCACAGGTATGGGTCACTGCCTGACCCATACCTCTGTCACTTGGCCCTCCTCCTGTGGCCCTGCCCTCTTTTCTGAAGGTGGAGCCAGCTCCACACACCTTTCTTCTTTCTTGTCTGCATGGGTTTCCTCGTCTGCATGGGTTTCCTCCCCGCACTGGCTGGTGGAGGGTTGTGTGCTGTCCCAGAGCTGCGCCACGTGGGCAAGCTCCCTGTACCCTTGGTCTGCCTTACTTACTGATGTGCTGCCATCCTCTGTCTCTGCCCTCCCAAGGTCTTGGTGGCTGGCTGTCCCCATGTTCCCAAGGAACTCAGTTCACTGGAATGGCAGGGCTGGTCCTGGTGCTCTCCCTCTTCAGGAGAGACCCAGCCTTAACCATGACTACTCTTGGCCTGTCCCCAGGAGGTGGCTGCTATCACTGTGTGATCTTAGTTCTTATCCAGCCTGGTAACCAGCATGACCATTACCTCCAGTTCATGGGCTCAGCGATTTCATAGCATGGAACAGCTGGGCAGTGGGCAGACCTCTGACCACAGGACTGAGTTTGGGCAGGGTCTAGTCCATGTGGCCAGAAGGGCAGGTCTCTGAGGACTTTGAGGCTTGTAGATTGCAAGTCTGACAGAGGATTTGGGACCAGCGAGGCCCTGGACTCTTGCAGGTGAGCTCCTGTTCCCGAGTGCTGGGCGCAGAAGCTCGTGAGGAGTACTTACGGATCCTTGGTGCCATGTGCCAGAGGCTCAGGTCTTCGCAGTACAATGGCAGCTACTTTGACCGAGGAGCTGAGGCCGGCAGCCGTCTCTGCACGCGGGAAGGCTGGTTCTCCTGCCAGGTGAGCAGTGTCCTTCCCTCTAGGTCAGCCCTGGTGGCCTGAGCACAGCTCTCCTTGAGCGAGGCAGGAAGAGTTGAACCCTTGCTTGCCTGGCACAGCCTGTGGGAAGGGGTGGCCCTTGCATTCAGAGCTAGGAGGGCAGGCCTGTGAATAGCACTGAAGGCATATTCTCGTCCCAGGACTCAGTTTGAGACCCTCTGGCCTGGACAGAGGGCAGCTGCAGGAGCGAGAGGCTCTGGCCTTGGCTTGTGCTGATGTTCATGTGCCCGGAGCCTTGCCATCAGCTTTCTGGGTGGCAGAGTCCCTGTGTGTCAAGATTTGTGGGGGCACTGGTTGAGCTTCACTCCCTGGTGGGGGCATCAGCTATAAAGAATGCTCTGGGCTGCACTGGCACACCCCCGGTTCTGGCTGGGCCACCTCTTGACGTCCAGAGGAGCGTCATTTCACATGGGGTCTGGAGGCTGGAGCAGTGATACAGTGAGGGTGAGCCTGGCCGTCTGCATGTGCTTCCTGCGTGCTGCTGTTCTGGGCTCCCTTCTGGGACATGAGGCGTGGTCCAGTGTTGAGTGGTAATGGCTCCAGGGTGTGGCATTTCTCTGGGCCCTGCTGCAGCATGGGGGGCACCTGCAGGGGGACCTCCTGCCATGGCAAACTGCAAGTGCTTGTACAGTGAGTCCCCACACTGGGGCCTTCCTGCTGGGTGTTTCTGACAGCAGAGCTGGGTGGCCAGGGTGGCCTCTGACCACTGGGATTTCCTGTTGGACCATTCCTCATGGCGATAGGTGGTGATGGTGGAGATGTCCTCCTTCCCAGCTAGCCAAGCATACAGACTCCCAGGGGCTCACTGCACCATTTGCTGAGAGCTCACTCTGTGCCAGGTGCTATACAATGAGCTGGGGACAGAAATGTCTCCTGCCTCTCTCTTGTCCTCGAGGTGGTCCCAGAGTAGTGGGAGGTGGACAGTTTGTGAGGGTGCCAGGGCAGAGGTGGCTGTGTGCTGGGAGGCTTCGAGGGGTGCAGAGGGTGGCAGGTGCAGCCATAGTGCTCAGCAAGAGTCCCACAAACATCCGAGGTGTACAAGTGTTGGCCCCGGGAAGGTGGCAGTCTCCACCGCGGCATATTCACCCAGGCGGTTCAGCTTCTGTTGGTCGCAGGGAAAGTCCAAGAAGCCTTGCAGAGCATCATGCAGTGTGGTCCTGCTCACCCCTCCCCAGCCATAGCCCTGGCCGTCAGCACCTTCCCCACTTCCCAGGAGGTAGGGGCAGCTGTGTGTGGTCACAGTGCCCTGGGACAGCTAGAGAAGACTGGTCTACCCAGCGCGGAGACATATAGGCACATGATAAGACACGTTTCTAGAAGCCCTGACAAATACTAACTTGTCCCCTTTGCAAACTCAGCAGATAGCGTCAGGGGCAGTGAGGAGATGGCCCCAAAGGCAGAATTCCTGCCCTGCTCCTGACAGCAGATGCTTCTCTGCCCAGTAGGCTCATCCCAGGGGCTGGAGACCAGTGCAGGGCCTTCATCCTCGCCTCCCCTGTTCTGTCGCCGCAGGGCCCCTTTGACCTGGACAGCTGTGCGTCAAAGCACTCCATCAACCCCTATAGCAACAGGGAGAGCCGGGTCCTCTTCAGCACCTGGAACCTGGATCACATGTGAGTCTGCGGCAGGGGGACCTTTGGGAATGCCTGTTGCCGAGACTCAGGTTTGCAGACAAGAAGAGCAGCTTGCAGGGGTCCGGGCCCTGCCAAGGAGCCTGGGCTCACTGTTGTTGGCTGCCTGGTGTGTGCTTGCTGTGCTGCGTGGGTCTGGTCCAGGGAAGCAGCCCCGTGTGTGCACGTGGATGGGCTACTGGAGAGACATGTTCTGCCTGCTGTCACAGTGCATGCCTGACATTGAGCCCTCTGCTCTCTGTTCCCACCTGTGGATGGACCTTGTCTGGCCTTAGCGCCTGACTCCCTGTGGCCTGGTGCTGGGCTCTCAGAGGCTGGTGCCACATGTTGGAACTGGAGCTGTGGCCATGGCCTGTGGGGAAGTTGGGGCCAGCAGGGCTGTTTCCATAGCTTCTTGTTTGCAGAGCTCTTCACAAGTCCTGCCTCTCTGCTGGCTGTCAGTGTCACAGATGCCTTCTACCTGGCTGGCCTTCAGCTCTCCGCTCTCTGATCACAGCAGATGTAGGTGCTGGGTGTGCTCTAGGAGGAAGTCGTCCTGCCCACTTGTCACGAGGACTCGCCGAGTTCTCTGCTGGTTTGTTTGCTGGGCTCTTTCTGACACTGAATGTCCACATGTGGCCCTCTGGACTGTCTTGACTGCTCTGGAACTCTTCACGCCAGCCTAGAACAAATACAGATGGTGGTGGCGGAACGCCTGGCCTGAGCCGGTGATGGTGTTTGTGGAGTACCCGTGTCAGTTTCGTTCTCTTTTATAAGATATACATGCTTTCAGTTGTGTGCAAAAGTGTTGATTTTTACCAGTGGTCATTAAGATGAAGGAACACTGGTCTGTCTGTCCTCCCCAGCCATAGCCACAGCCTTCCCCTGATGTATGGGGCTCAAGACTATGCACATGCTTAAATGTGGAAGAGCTAAAAAGCAAGCCACCTGTGAAATAAAAGGGCACCGTCCTCCCACTCACATGTTGTGGCGCAGAAGGCCAGTGGCAGGTCGGAGAGGAATCCAGACTTTTCAGAGGTCTGGCGTCCGGCAGTGCAGGGGAGCCCTTCCCTTCCTGGCAGCTGCAGCGGTCCGGCCAGGGCCTGGCTCCCTCAGCACTCTGGTCCTTGGTGTTAAGGCCACACGTTTCTTCTTGCCTGGCTTACTTAACAGCAGCTCTTGAAATCCTTTTGTGGTTCTAGAGGCTGATTTTCATAATTTTCCCAGGTGCCCTGAGGTTGGCACTTGTCTCGTTAGCCAGGTTAACTGCCTTTTGTTTCATCCAGCCTTGTGTTGCCCCATGGTGGTGCTCTCTGCTGGAACACAATCTCTGTGGGGTCACCTGTTCCCAGTGTCTAGCACAGTGTCTGTCGATAGTGGCTGTTTGGTCAATATTTGTGCAATATTTTATTGCATGAGTAAATGGACCTGAGTTTATTGGAGCTACCCGGTTCTGAGTTTCCTGCCCACAGCACCTCCTCTGCCCTTCTTTCGGGTCTGTACTGTGCTTTCCGTTGTTGCCTGAGTGGTCCTTCCTCTCTGCCTGTCACCGCCCTTCAGTGCTTGGAACGTGGGTGCTCAGCTGTGTCTGTCGTGGTATCTTAACACCCGAAGTCTGCATCGTCCTCCTCACTCTGGCACGCTATTCTGCTTTTGGTAGTTGTCCCCCTGACTTTAGTCCTGCTTGTGTGGTTTTCTGGCCAGTGTCCTTTACATCACCAACACACCACCCGTGTCTGCTTGCCAGCACTCTGTGTCTTATCTGGCTGTGCTGCTGATGGCCGGGGGCCCTGGGGCATCTTTATGGAGGTGGGAGGAGCAGACTCTCAGCCTGCATGTGTCTGTCCAGCTCCTGCTCAACAAACTTCCATCAAACACTGAGTGCTGGTTGACAGGCACCTGCTTCAGTGCCTGAAGGGTGATACGATGTCTCCTGGCATCTGCCTGCTTTTCTGCCTTTTTAATGGAAGTTTTAGTTTTTCTCCTCTCTGCAAATGATATGTCTGGGGGTCAGTCTTTCTTTTTGGTACTGACTGGGACTTGTGGTCTCTGTTCTGAAGAAGGCTCTTCTTCAGTCCTGGAGAACTCGCAGGTGTTTCTTAGGCACTGCTGAGTGTGGTTGGGCCTTCTTGTTCCGCCTCCTGGTGCGGTCTCTGCTCTTCCAGGGACCCAGCTCTGTGGTGCTGAGTTTCAGGTGACTGACTTTCTGCTGTGGACTGAATTGGCACCTCCAAGTTCACACTGAAGCTCTGTCCCCCCGTGTGACCACATCTGCAGACAAGGTCACTGGGAGATAACTAAGGTGAAAGGAGGTCACAAGAGGGGGCCTCGTCCAGTAGGATGTAGCCTTTGAAGAGGAAGAAGGCATGCTCTCTTGCCCACACTAAGAGGCTGCTGTCTGCAGGCAGGACGTGCTCCCTGACCAGAAGGACCAAGCCTGGGGCATCGGCCTTGGGCTTCTGGCTCTCAGCCTTGGAGGACAGTCTGCGCCCTGCAGACGCCCCCCAGTCTGCAGCAGTGTTCTTCCCTAGTGGCCCTGCAGTTCCACACTGTCCAGCCTGCCCGTTGTAGATTATGCCCTTCCTAGAAGTCAGTGCTACCAGCCTGACCTCTGGGGGCACTGGGGACTGGGGTCAACTGTAGACTGTGCTCCTGAGGCTTGGGTGCTCTCCCTGGTTGGCAGTGCTCCAGGCACATGGAGTGGCTGGAGGAGTGGTTGCCTTGTGTGCCTCCTCCCTGGCTGATGCCAGGCTAAGTAGCCTCAGCTGTGTGACTCAGAGCCACAAGCACAGCAGCCGTCAGTGGGCTGGGAGTCCTTTTAGAAAGTCTCGAGTTGGAGGGTGGTCCAGGAAGCCCGGCACTCTGCCTGGGTTTTCTGAGGCGAGGTGTCTTGGGCAGTCATCTGGCCCCTCCCTGGCCTTTGACTTGTGTGGGGATAGTGCTGCTTGTCCAGGTATGGCTCCTTGGTGGTGTGTGGGCTGGGTCCAGCACTCATCTCGGGTGGAGCTTTTCCTGTGCACACCATGTGCTGGCCTGTGGGCTTCTCTCTGGAGTGTCTGTGCCCTTGTCCCCACAGACACCCAGGGTTGTCAGTGGTGCTGAAGCAATTTCACACTGCTGCTTGCCTGCTGTTCCTGAGCCGTGTTGGTTGTGTTCATCGGGACTCTGCCCATGTGACACCGGCCTGAGGGTGGATGACTGGAGATAGGTATGACTGGAGATAGGTACAGATGGTACGTGCCCTTGTTGCCCCTGCTCCTCCCCTGATGCTAAATCCAGGTGTAGCCACGTACCTTAGCAATAGGAGGCAGATGTGGCTTGACAAGTGCTTGCACGTCAGATCTTGTCCTCTTGATCACTCTTGGGGATGCAGGGCCATTGGGGAGAAGGGCCCAGGCCCAGCTGACCCTCAGGAAGTGCAGCAGCCCTGGGAGGGCCTGCAGGGCCAGCAGGAGACCATTTACATGGTGGAGGGGCGGCTGACTGGATGGCATGGACACTGGATGCAGAAGGGCCTCCCTCTCTCTACCAGGGCCCTGGGCATGGCGTAGGCCCCTCAAGGTCCCTCTGATGGCTAGAGTGTGGTGCCCTCGTGCGTCAAACAGTGATTTCTGTGTTCCTGGTAGCTCAGTACCTCCTTTTTCCTGTTGCTCTCACTTATGTGATAAAGTTTTTCTTAGCTTTTCCAGGCTATGGGGTGAGGACACCTTGGTGCCAGATGACCTGTTCACCGTGGTCCCATCTCCTTACTAGATATCTGGTGTTCTCTTGAATTGGTTGCTTATAAGTGAAACAGATTTATACAGAGTAATGGCATGTTTTTTTAAAAAAACTAGACATGTAAGATTAGGACTAGAAAGAGACATACTGAATCCTTAATCCCCGTCCCCAAGGTAGGAAGCAGACATGAGATTGAGGTGGGAGTCAAAGGTGACTTTAGCTTCAGGTCATTTTTAAATTTCCTGCCTTGGGGGTCCATCTTGACCTGGATAAAATGGGACACAAGCGAAGTTGCTGGTGGCAGCTTGTGGTGATGGAGTATGATCAGCTCCTTCTCCCCTGTGTTCTTTTCAGCATGTTTGAACAGTGCCCACAAATCAAGTGTTAAAGAGTGAGACGTACTACACTGGGCGCAGGCTCTGCTAGACAGACCTGCCCATAGGTACCCGCAACTCGGGGACGACACAGGAGTTCGAGCTGGGCTCCTGCAGTGTTGGCTGAGCCCACCTGTTTCACTGCCATGTGGTCCTTCTGGGATGTTCCTGGTGTGCCTCTAGACTCTTAAAGATCCCACGCTGGTCTTTCCTGTAAGTGGCCAGGCACTGTATGTTTTAGTGACAACGGGCGAGTAGGAACCGTACCACATCTGGGCTATGGCACTGCGTCAGCAGTGTGACCACCTCTAACCTGGCTTTGCAGAATAGAGAAGAAGCGCACCATCGTGCCCACACTGGCTGAGGCCATCCAGGAACAGGGCGGGAGAGAGGTGGACTGGGAATACTTCTACAGCCTGCTCTTCACCTCAGAGAACCTCAAGCTGGTGCACATCGCCTGCCACAAGAAGACCACCCACAAGCTCGAGTGCGACCCTGGTAGGATCTACAGATCCCAGAAGAGGCCAAAGAGGCGGCGGCCTGCTCGAAAGTGCCGGTGACCCGGGTGCCGAGTCCTTTACCCTCCACAAGGCCCAACTGTGCCTAACAGTAACAGGTGCGATTTTGTATTTTGTCCTCACTCCAGTGGTTCCTGGAAGAAAACCTCTTCAAACCTGATTTCAGTACAGTTCAGAGTCTGTTTCCTCTGCCAGAGGACATCTTTTGGGTGCTTGCTGGGTGCTTGTGTCAGGGAGTCATGCTGAGCTCTGGCCTTTGGCACTGATCCACCAGCACTGCATGTGCTCCTGTGGCAGTCTCCATGCTCACAAGGTCCCACAGCTGAGCCTGGCTGCTCCTGTGCCTCAGTTTTGTGCTGGTCTCCATTTAAATGGCAGTTCCATCTCTGGATCCTTTTAAAAGCCCCAGAGAGAGATGTGTTGCTTCTGGGGTAAAAGTCTGTGCTCCATGGAGAACTGCAGGGTTACTGCTGTGAATTATTTAAAACTTTCCAAATGTCTCAGTGGGGAATAGCTGAGTGGCATTATGTTGGACCTTGCAAGCTTGCTTTTTTTTTTAGGTAAAAAATGGTTGGATGTCATTAATTTCATGATTTGACCTAATACATGTACATATTGCAAAACTGTAATAGCTTTAAGTGTTTGTAAGTGTTCATGTGTAGAAATGGGAAGCTGTTGAGTGCACAGGGGGCTGGCTATGCAGAGTATGACCTGTTGGGTTTTTTTTTTTAATATGTATTTTTTTGTTGTAAGTGGACACAATACCTTTATTTTATTTTTATGCGGTGTTCAGGATCAAATTCAGTGCCTCACGCATGCTGGGTGAGTGCTCTAACACTGAGCCACAGCCTGACCTATTGGTTTTTTAAATGTGCGTAGGAAGCTGGATATAGTAGCATATGCCTGTAATCCCAGCAGCTCAGGAGGCTGAGGCGGGAGGATTGCAAGTTCGAAGCCAGCCTCAGCAATTTAGTGAGGTTCTTAGTAATGTAGCAAGCACCGTTTTAAAATAAAAAATGGCGAGCTAGGTCTGGGTCTCAGTGTTTAAGAGCCTTGGCCTTAATCTCTAGTACCAAAAACAAAGTGTATTATGTGCAGATAATCTGGGAGGAAACACCAAGCTGTGCATGGCAGTGATCCTGGGCACTTAACAGGAGTGGAATGGGTAACAAAGCGCTAATTTCCTACATCATGCATTTGTAATACTTGAATTTTTAAAAATGTATTTTATAACAATTCATAATGTACTTTGTAAAGATAAATTTCATAATATTTGGATTTTTACACTTATGCCATTAGAAAAAGCAATAAAGGTCTCTCTAAACCGTCAAGAGTCTGCTCATTGGGAGTGACGAGAATAAGGCTGAACTGAGAGGCTGGAGGCCATTAGTGGCCGACCCTAATCCTCCATCTGCAGAGACCCAGCAGTCTTGGAGCACAGCTGTGGTGGAACTGAAGTCCCAACTCAGGGTGGTGTCTGCTTGGCCTGTCAAGGGCTCAAGGCAGAGGGAGAGTTGGGCTGGTAGCCAGGATGCCTGGCACAGGAACTTCCTGGAACTCAGAGGGTCCCACCTATGCAGCAGGCTGTAAGCCTCTCTAGTCCAGAGAGGGCTGCTCCAGATGCCAGTGGGGACTTGCCCTTTGTGGTGGCTCACACCTTCAGGAAGTGCCCCTTCTCCCCTGGGCACACTGAGCACTGTGCTCCCGATGTCTTGTGTTTAGAGATGGTTTCTAAGAAGTCCTTTTGTAATAATGTGGCCTCCTGTTGCTTTGGGGCTATGCCTGCAAGGCAGATGCTTGTGGTCAGCCTGTGCAGAGGGTGTGCGGTGCTCACGGTGATCTTACTATACACTAGTGTGTTCTGAGGTTTATTTTCTCTAGTGCTTAGTGTTCACATGTGCTGTGGGTTGATTCCCTGGTGTTTCTGCAGGTGGCCCTGCATCTGGAAGCACAATGGCAGAACCTCTGCACTGGGTCCATTTGCTCCAGAGGCCCTGCACACCACCTGGGGCCGCTTACTATACATGTGATACCGGTGCTGTGGCAACTCTGCTTCCCTTTGATAGTGACCTTCAGGGACTTAGGTTTGTCATCTCTGCCACCTCAATCCTAGATGTCATATGAGGCTTCTGGGACTGGCTCAAGTTGCATGACCAGTTAGGAAGGGCCCTACAGAGGTCAGGTGTGGCAGAACCGATTGTGCTCCCACCTAGGCAGTGCAGATTACAGACTGCACTAATGCAGCAACCTAAAGATGTAAATTATTTCCCCTGGCTTTCAGAAAATGACTACTAATAAGTTTTGAATTATATTCAGTCAATGGATAAATGGCAGAATCTTCCAGAGCAGGTGATGGGGATCACAACAGAAGCAGAGAATGGTGCAGGGAAACTACTTGCAGGGAGGGCAGTGGAAGGAGCCTCACAGGGCTTGTCACCTGCTGAGTGGTCTGCTGTGTTGTCACTTCCTGTTACCTCATAGGACGGCTGACAGTTGGTGGGCAGCCTGGCTATACACAGCCAGGACTGAGCAGGAGCCCAGACAGGGAGCCACTCCTTACAGAGTCCTGTGTGTTCTCAAGGGCCGAGCACTTTTCCTGTTGGTACAACCAGCGGCCAGGCTTCCTCCTCCTAGGTGCTCTGCTGAGCCCTGGAGCACAGCTGAAAGGAAGAGGCTGGGAAAGCCCCCCTGTGCTGCACCCCTTTGTCCACTGGGGAAGACACGTCACCAGGTGCTTCTTGATACAGGTGGGGGCTGGGGAACACTCCCAGGTAGGGCTCAGGTGTGTGGGCCCAGGGTGCCACCTGAGAACACATGCAGCCGAATGGTACACCTCACTGGATGGTGCCTCCACCACGCAGAACGAGGGAGGCAGTCTGACCCTCTTGTGGCAAAGGTTGAGTGAGCTGTCAACAAGGACAATAGGGCAGGGCAGGGGCTGGGTCGCCTCTCAAAGCCTGTCCCAGCGGCCTTACCTCTCCTGCAGGTTAATGGGCCTAAACAGTGGTCCTAGCCTAGGGACAAGGTTCATTTCTTCCCTTAGCTCTCAAATTTTTGAGGAAGGAGTAGTTTTAGGTACAGTACTTAAAAAATTTTCAAAATAAATTTTTATTTCTTTGCCATGTGTATTTTGTAAAATCTCAAGGTCAACACTAGCTCTACACTGCAATGAGGACAATCCTGCAAGCACTGGCACTGAATTGATCAGAAGTGATCAGATTCTGATAATGGAAAAAAAAACAAACTTGCATATCATAAAACTAAGGAGCTCAAGGGAAGGTTTCCTTACAAAGATCATACTCACTTAACACGGAGCCCTCATGGCTAACCCACGCCAGCACCACAGCATACGAATGTGACAAAAGATGCCTGCACCCAAGCAGCAGCTGCAGGGCTGCACGGACACCTCCCACAGGCATCTGGTGTTCTGCACAGTTCTCTTAGGGGTGAAATCTGATTAAGACATTCTCTTGGAGATGCACTGTATATAAACTGCATAATTTGCTAAACTGTCAAACTGTTAACTATCCTGAATGTGTCAAGAAATCATTCTGTGCTTCTCTACATTTCTGCATCATCGTCATCCTCATCGTCTTTGGCTCTGAAATGCATTTTTCTGAATTCTCGTCTGCTCATTGAAGGACAAGCTGAAGAGGCTGGAGGCAGGTCCTTAGAGGGAAGAAAACACGGACTTCAGTCCCAAATGACACAATGAGAGCACCTGCACGCACAGTTCACCTTGGTTAGCTCTGGTCTGGCCGAGTGGGCCTCCCTGTTAGACATGGAAATGAGGAGGTCCAAGCACCCATCCCTCGGTAAGGAGGACTCTGGTTCAGGCAAGAGAGGGGCAGGCAGATTCAGGAAACCACAGTGGGGCAGGGTGCTGGTGCACCTGGAAGGTGCCCGCCTTTCTCAATGGCAGGATTCTGAGCCTGGGAGCTGGAGGGAGTGCCCTGATTAGCTAACCCTTATTTTTTTCTCTTGCACTAAAATTATTTGTGGCGAGGCCTGCTTGCAGGCCTCAGATGCAGCAAGGGAGGGGGATGTGCCACTCTTACCTGCATGAGTTCAACATTTCCAAAAAATCGGCTCACTGGCATGGGTTGGTTGCTGTCATCGTCTAGAAAGACGCTGTTGTCCATCTGAAACAATGGCTTCTGCACATCCTCTCTTTCCAGCGCCACCTGGTCCTGCCCCACAGAGCAGCCATTTGACTCCTCTGCCCCTGCCCCTGCGCTGGGTTCCTGCGTAGATAGACCATCTTCAGTCTTTGCTGAGCAAGGGTCACTGGCAGCTTTGCAAGGGCTGTGGGGAGGCGCTGCAGCCTCCTGCTGCGTAGCCACACCAGCCTCACGGCCTAGGAGCAACATACTGTCTTCTGCAAACTCATTTTCACAAGGGACCTTGGGTGCCACTTTTGGCAAAGAAGCACTGTCACTTTTAGGGACTAGTTTCTGTAATTCAACCTTCAAAAGATGACTTCTGTCACACTTGAACTTCTTGGAAGTCCGCCTATCTGCAGCCTTGTGTGATGAGGAAGTCTGCCAAGAAAGAAGAATGTAAAGGGGAAACTAGACACATCTAGCAACCACAGGCCTCGATCCCAGAGGCTCCTGTTTCTTTTCACCTGAGACAACATAACTCTTGTCACTTTGTGTCACCACTGGAGGGACAGAATACACACTAATGGCTGAGGATGAGTCTAGACACAAACCTTGTCATTACTCCATTGCTTTCGGTTTTCCCTGGGGGGGGGGGTTCCTGAAGCATATGTTTATTTTTGTTATGAAATTACAATAAGAGAATCCAGTCTCCATTCATTCCTACTAAATGGAAGCTCTACGAGTTTTTGCATTATTCTCCCAAGCCTGGTGTGTGGGAGGTGCTCAGCAGAGGTTGCTTCATGGACTTCAAGACTTTTACAAGCAGCTGAGCAAGAGACAGCACCAGCTGCCCAGTGGGCCAGGGACTCCTTGGAGACAACAGCTCAAGACTATCAGAGGGTCCTTTCCTAGCCCCCTGAGCCTTCCTCTCGTGGTTTGGGGTGAAACAGTGTGACAATGCACTCTCTTCACTTGGACAGGCCACCTTCAGAGTGAACAATCGTGTCTTGGAGCCCAGGTCTCTGACACATATAATCATCCCGGTGGCAAACGCCAGGAAAGCCAATCTGAACTGCACAGCACAGCCTCCTGAAAGCAAAGTCAGCAGCACCAGGCTCTCCTCTGATGGGCCCTGGGATCTAAACTACATTAGCGTCTTGGAGTAATAACTTAGTATTTAGACCTTGGTATTCTTCATGGCAACAGAGCTCACCAGACATGCTGTTTTGGCAGACGTGGAGCCAGTGACATCCTGGGCAGGGGCCAAGCTGGCTTCAGAGCAACTTCGGGCTCGTAGGCGTGCTGAAGATCGCACTCCACCTGTGAGCTAGACCAGATGGAGGCTCAGTCAGAGGATGCTCCCAGGAAAAAACATGAGCATGCAGCTGAAGTCTCCCAACTAGAGAACCCCCCAGGCTTTTACCACCTTCATAGGAAGGCAGCTGTGGCCCTGAATATGCGCAAACAGCTGTGCCTGGGTTTAGATACAGGATCTGCTGTGCATGATTTTGGGGGCTTGGGACAATCTGTCCTCTCACTGTGTATGTTTGTAGGACCATGTGTATGTTAATGGACTCAAAATCATCTCAAAGTGTCTAGAGTAAGCAGCACATATCCTTCCTCAAAGGCTCTCAATCTTTGATGTGTCAAGTTCTTGACAAAAGGTAAATGAAAACGAAGGCGAGTTCTTGGCCTCCCCTCCTTCCCTAAATGGCAGTCCTAACTCTAGCTTTAAGCAGGTAGCTTCTTCCAGATCTTACTGTCAGCTGCTGTCTACTTCTATCTTATTCTAAAGGCAAAGGAAAGGCTTCTAATAAAAAAAAAAGCCTTAACATTTAAAATAACCTTATTTAAGAATAATTTTAGATTTTCAGAAAAGTAGCAAGAACAACAGAGCAACACTAAAACTTAGCATTGATTCTATACTGTGAACTTTGGATATTTGTATTTCCTCTGTCTTTCCATGAATACTTTTTTATTCTGTTCTAGAATCCAGTCCAGGATATTACACTACACTTAGAAAAGAAGTTTCAAAGTTCACCTTAAAAATTGAAGAGTATAAAAATGAGTAATAAAGAGAAGCAATAAACAGAAGTGAGGAATTAAGGTAGAAATTACAAGCTCAGAAGCTGTTGCCACAACGGGCCCTAGAACTGGAAATCCATGAGGTGCCAGATGTAGGTGCTCTGCTCAACAGCAGATGGAAAAACAGAAAAGGAACAAGCCAGCATAGGGTAGCAAGTCTCCGCATCCACCCTCCACCCCTGCCATGGACTCTGCCCAGCTGGAGACAGAGCATTTGAAAAAGTGTTGGGCCGCAACCTGAGGAAGGAGGGGGCGCCCCTGCTACAGGCAGTACAAGCAAGGGGCTCCTGGCCAGGGTCAGGGCCTGTTGCATGGTCGCTGGGGCCAGGCTTATGTCACCTCACAGCACAGGGCTTGGTGGGAAGAGCCCTGCAGCAGCAGTTCTGTCACTGAATGTGACACTGCCAAGAGCTGCTGTGCACCTCTCTCAGGGACAAAACTACCACTCAGCCCAGACGAGTCCATGTCCCCACACTGTCAGTGAATAAAGAGGAGAGAGAGGACAATGTCACATCACAAGAGACTGTGGGGGGAGGGGGAGTGTGTGTGTGTGTGTTCCCAAGTGGAAGGGCTCTCAACGCAGCCATGAACTGAAGATTGGTACATCATGTAAATCAAATGGAAAAGGGAGCCTCAGAAACGCTGAGTGCATCACGTACACCAACATGTGTAATGGAACAACAGAAAGAAAGGAAAGGAGAAAAGTTCCAAGGAATAGGGAGTGAACAGTTCCCAATCTACACATCCAGGAACGTCAACGAACCAAACTCCAAGTGGTGTAAATGCCAAGGTAAGTGGGGTAAATGCAGACACATCAGTGTCAGTCCTGAAAGTCCTGGAAACAGCAGGAGACCAATAATGCCCATGGGAAGGAAGCCGTGGAGGCCACGGGAGAGCATCAAACACCTTTAAGGTACCTGAAGAAGACTGGCCACCAAGAACCCCAACCTAGCCAAGCTGCCCTTTGAGATGAAGGCGGGGCACCGACCTCCAGCCACAAAGCTGAGATTGGCTGCCAGCAGCTTCGCGTTACAAGAAACACAGAGAGTTCTTCAGGTTGGAGCCAGTGGCCCCAGACAGCAATTTAAATCCAAAGAAAATGGGGCCAGTGGGGCCCGCTGGCCACCCTGTCATCCAGTTACTCAGGAGGCTGAGGCAAGAGGATCACAAGTCCGTGGGCAGCCTCAGCAAATCAGCAAGACCTTGCCTCAAAAAAAAAAAAAAAAAAGAAAGACTGGGGATGTGGCTCGGGGGTAGATCACCCCGGGCTCAACGCCCAGGCCGAAAGGACCGCGGCGGGCCGGCCCAGCGGTCCCGTCCTTGGAAGTTTTACGTGCACATCCCTCCTTCCCTCTCTCGGCGCCAGGGCGAGCGGCGTGCGCCGTGACGCGGCCGCCGCGGGCTAGGGAACGACCTCGGGCGGTGAAGACGAGACGGCGCCGACGCCCCAGCCCCGCGAC